CACTTCTAATCTGTTCTTTCCCTCATCTGTTTCAATGCAATATACATAATTTATCCAGTTTTTTCTGTCATACCCCCACCCTGATGTCAGACCCATTCTACAACAGTGGCACCATGCAGTATTTGTCCCTTTGTGACTGAGATATTTCACTCAGCATAATGTCCTCCAGGGTCACCCACTTTGAATAATATTGCATCAATTCCTTGTTTTTTAATGCTGCGTAGTATTCCATTGTGTGGATATACCACAGCTTCTCTATCGACTTGTTGGTTTTTAAAAATATTTTATTTTTGAAGTGTTTTTCTTTTCATTCACATTGCGTTTCATATGCTCATTCCCATACAATGCATCTTAAAATTAATCACTACTGATACTTGCCCTCCATTACCTGTCTTCTCAGATCCCCACTGGATCTTTCCTAATTCCTTAATTTCCTGCTTTGACCCAACAAAATCTGCAACCACATGATTCCACCCTCAGCCCCTCTGCCCTCTACACTTTCCTCTTTGGATATCCATACACATCTTACTGGTTATCCTTCTGTTTTCACAATAACAATCTTATGCTGTATTTGTCCTCATGGGCCTGAGTTAGTTGACTCAGCAGAATGCTCTCCAGCCTCTTCCATATTATGTATTATTTTTCTAAATAATTGCTCTTTAGTGCTGCATAGTTTTCTATTGCATGAATGTATCACAGTTTCTTTTTCTATTTTTTTCTTTTTATATTTTTATATTATTATTTTGTGTGTGTAGAGTCAAATTGGATCTGACTGGTACAGGAGGAGATTGCCCCTCCTTCTCCAGCAGAGCATCTGGTGGATTCAAATCAAGTGCCTCTGGGATTACAGTGCAGCTTCCTGCCACTATTCCCTTACCACAATTTCTTGAGCTGTTCATTTGTTGATGAACATTTTGGGCTGTTTCTGTGTTCTTGTTATTGTGAATAACACTACTATGAATTATCAGTGTACAAACCTCCATTTGTGTCTCATTTCTAATTTCCTTGAGGGTTTATTCCTAGTAGTGGAATAATTGAGTCATACAAATTCCTATGTTCAGCTTTTTGAGGAAATGCCTAATTACCTTCAGAGCATAAGCACCATTTTACAATCTCACCAAAAGCGTATGCAAATTTCAATCTCTTCATTTCCTCTCTAACATTTATTGCTATTAAACTTTGCCATGGCTACTGGGGTGAGATGTTATCTCATTGTGTTTTTTATTTGCATCCCTCTTATTGCGAGTGATTTTGATAATTTCTTCATGTGTCTGTTGCCTATTTCAATGTATTCCTCTGTGAAAAGTCTTTCCACATAGTTTGCCCATTTTGTAATTGGTTTATTATTCTTTTTTCTTGTAGAGGCCCTGAAGTATTCTATAAACTTCCGTTATGAGACCCTTGTCTGAGATGTTATTGCCAAATGGGTTTGGTTTTTCCCCCAGTCAGTAGGTTTTCTTTTCACCCTATTGGCAAAAGGTTTCGATGCACACAGGAAGATAGTCTTTAGAAGGTCCCATTCATCAATGTTATCCTCTCCTGGTTGTGCAGTTTTCAGTAACTTGTTAATAGAAGTGTCCTTACAGATGCAGAGGTCCACTCAGGTATACTCTCCTGCAAGAAGTTTCCCAGAAGGCCTGTCTTAGCTCCACCAAGCCCACTACCAGAACTCCCAGGGTATAGTACCTCTCTTGCTTGGCATACTCTGAGTCTCTAAGGGATGTAGGTATCCTAGTCTTGAACACCTAAAGCCATCCCCACTTCCAATTAAACATTCCCTCTGCATCTACTGCTGCTGCTAGTATGGAAGCCTTCTCCCCTCTTCTCCTAACCCTCAGCTCTCCTCACCAGAAGCTCAGCTGCCTGCTCTACTTGTGTGGGCATTCCTGCTCCAGTACTAGACTGACTCACAGGCAGGCACATATCCACCCTGAAGCTTAAGGAGACTAAAATCAGGCCAAGAAAATAACTACCCAAGTACATGTAACAGAATCAGGCCAGGGAGCCAGCATTCCCAAATCCTGGCACTGGGTTTAATGTCATTTACAGTTTATTCACTGGATAAGTAATTCTAATGACTTCCACTGCTGCTGTCGTTAATACTGTTACTGCTATTGCTACTACCACCACCATTGTTACTACTGCTACAGTACCTGCTGCTTTTGCTGCTGCTATTACTGATGCTGCTGCAGCTGCTGATACTGTTACTACTGATACTCATAATACTGGCGGTGGTGCTACAACTAATACTGCTGGTGCTATTGCTTATGCTGCTGCTGCTATTACTAATAGAGCAAAAAAGTCACAGTTTCCCTAGGCCTTATCCCCAGGCTTGACTATTCTTTGAAAAAAACCTGATAATTTAAGTGTTCTGATAAGGTGCTATATGATTAGATCATGATAAGACTTTGGGCCCAATCACACAGTGACAGGATATCTACCCCCAAATTCTGGACCAAATTACCACCTTCTCCAAATAAAACGTCTGATCCCTTCTGCGATTGGTCAGCTGGTATCTTTCTCAGACTAATCAATAAAGGCCTGTTCATTTCTTGGGACCAGCTTCTCTCTCTCTCTCACTTTTTCTAACAACAAATATTGCTGCTGTCTTCTCTGTCTGCTGCTGCTGCTGCTTCTAATACAGTGGGTATAAAAGCAGCAGAAGCCAGTACTGCTAGGGGTCTTTGAAAGAAGACCTCACCTCTGTGAGTTAAGTGGTGCATCTATCTTACAGAAGTTCTGATCTGGAAATCAACTGACTCTGGCCCATCAAGCTTAGGTCTGAGGCCACAGGGCAGTAAGGTACTTATTTACTTGCTAAGGAAACAAAGACCCCAGAATGTCAAGCTCAGGTTCAGTCATGGGTCTTTGGGGTAAGGAAGTGAAGTCTGGCCTTTCAAGATCCAAAGCGCAGAAGAGATAAGTGAAATGGAATAGGACATGGGAAACCTCAAGAATCCCCCCTCCCCAGCGAAGCTTTGATATGACTGGTTCGTGTATCCATCTCCTTGTCAGAAAAGTCTTAAAGGAAGGGACCACACTGTAAAGAGGATTACCATAGGAGTGCCTCACTCGGCATGGTCCCATGTTGTTGGGTAAATCCACTTCTCAGAGCTAGGGCTCTTAGTCTGCAAATGGAGCTGGCCACCCTTCTCCTGAAGAGGCTGAGGACTATGAGAGTGAAGGGACCAGGCAGAGCCTTCGCAGGGCTTGGTGCTGCTAAAACTTACTGATGGGGCTGCTGTCTTCTCTGTCTTATCAGAAGAGAAGTTTTGGCTTGTTAATTTGGCCTGTGGGAATCCCCTGGAGTTCAATGTAAAAATCCCAGGGCCTGGGGGCCTCTCATGGATTCTGATTGATCAGCTTCAGGGGGGCAGCCTAAGGCTTGTGTTTTTAAAAGCAAACCTTGTAATAGTATTGATCAGGCAGATTTGAGCCTTTTGATCCTCAGATGGCAGGCATGGAAACAGACCTGGTCCCCAGCTTATGGGTGGTAGGACCAGAATGCAGGCCAGACTATCAAACTCACATCCAGGCTAGCCAAACTAGCCATGAACTTCCCACCACATGTGCAGCTAAGCCTGGGAGGGCCCCAGGATCCTCACTTTTTGGATGAGGAACTACTGACCTAAGAAGGGACTTGGCTGAGAGAAGCAGATGTCAGACCTGGTGAGGGCACTGATACTGGTGCTGTAGTGCACACCTGAGTTCCAACACTGCTCAGCATCACTCAAGCCCCACAGAAAGCCCACCTACCACACAGGCTCTTACCCATATGCCCACAGCCATGTTTAGGGCAAAGTACAGGGCGATGACAGTGATATCAGCCACCTTCAATTGTGGCCCGGTAGCGTGACCAGTAGAGTTGTCAGTTTCCATGCTGCAGGCACCAGTTCTGAGCAGAGACTAAGGGGCAAGCCAGGTCAAAATGGGCTTTCTAGAGGGACCTCATTGATCATTAAACTGACCAGACATTCTCAGTCCACAAGGTAGCTGCATGTAACACCTGCTTCAAAGTGCAGCCATCTCCCCTTTGCCCTCCTAGGGGCAAGGGAAGGAGGAGGCAGTCCCTGAAACTCAGCAGAGGGACAGAGGTGAGCTCAGGGACGTGACGGCTCTGCAGAGCCTCAGAGATAGCCTGGGTGCCAACATGCAGACAGAATAAAAACTCTTACAGGTAGCACCAGGTTCTAGACTGATAATACCTTACTTTTGGGAACACTCTTGGTCCTCCCCTACAGTCACAGTCATCAAGCCCTGAATTAGTGAGAGGGACCCAGGGGAAAATTCCTGCATTCCCATTAAATCCCAGCACCAGAAGTTCTGGTCTCTGAGACAGCCCTTGATAGAATAACAGAAAGGATGAGTTTTCATTCATTCATTAATACACCTTTTCCTCTCCCCTTCTCCCCCAATTCACTTTGTAATGTATGTCTTGTTCCAAATTGCCATACGCACAATGACTAATCATCCATTTCCTTCAGAGTCCCTCCTTCCATTCCAGAGCAATGTTCATTGTCCATTCTTGCCCTGCTTTCCCCTCCCGTGTCTATTGTATTGTTACAACAGTAGTCCTATGAGCATTTGTCTGCTCTCCTATTCAGAACAGAAAAAATAAGTCCAAGGCTGTGGACTCCCTGTGGCTGGCCTGGGACTGAGTAGTCTGCCTATTAGGTAGCCACCTATTAGGGGCCCTACCAGCAGCTTAGCTTTCCAACACCACACTCTTGCATGCTTGAAGTAATTTCACAGTGCAGTCAAAAGAACAAAGTCAGAGAGAGGTGGGGCAGATTAAGAGGTAGAGCTGAAGTCATAATCAAATCAACCCCCAAATCGTTGCTGACAATATTGTCCTTTAATCAATTTGCATTCAGGTTATGGTGGTGCAGCTACCATCCTTCCTGATCACTCACTAATTCATTTAGGCTATGGTAGGGGCAGCTCCCTTCTTCCTAGCACTCATTAATTCACTTAGCATGCCCAGGCAGGCTGGAGATCTTACATCTCCATGGTAGTGACAAACACCACATCTTGGCTTCACAGAACACTTGGAGTTCAACCAGTCAGTACATGCAGCCTGCCAAGGTGTTAATGAATGAGCAGCCTGGTGGTGAACACATGCTGCTTGCAAAACCATCAGGCTGTTACTCTGTAACTTGGAAGGAAGGGTTTAAAGACTCACCCCTAACCTGTAGGATTGGACTGTCAGTGTGTGTGTGTGTGTGTGTGTGTGTGTGTGTGTGTGTGTGTGCACTGCAACTTGCTACACATAATAGCAGACATCAGGCAGGCCGCCAGCTCCACCAGTGCCCACTCTCCTGCCTTCCACAAATCTGCTTCAGAGGCTGCATGTGTTCCTAGTGATTACTCAAAAAGTGTCAATCAGAAGATCTCTACACTAATCAAAAGGATCCAGCTGAAAAATATTCCAGCTCCTCAAATCTGTCACGTAAGTCATTGAACCAATACTGTTGGGTCCTCTGTTGAGTCTCAGATGGAAATAAACCGCAGCCACTAAACTGCTTCTGTCTTAATGGATTCACCTATTGTAGAAATTTTATATCATGTTTGTTGTTGTTGTTGTTGTTATGTGCCGTCGAGTCACTTGTGACTCATAACGACCCTATGTACAACAGCCTAAACTCTGCTCTGTCCTGTGCCAATCGCACTGTCTCTGACACTCCCATCCTGATTATCCCAGTCACGGAATCAATCC